ATTATGGATTCAAGTTTAGATTTTGAATAATATTTAAAAAATAATAATAAAATTTATAACATTATTTTTATTGAGCAATAAGCAGGAGATGGGGAAAATAATATTAATTTTGCCATGGAATTTTCTCGCACATCTTTTATATGGAAATGATGTTGGGAAAAGTTTGATTTTTATGCTATTCAAAAGTTTTTGGCACAACTTACAAAGAAAGTTCTAACTTTATTAATGAGGCAATTTTATACGTCTCCTTCACCCATTTTTCAAACTCTAGCTCAAATATCATAATTGACAATAAAACCCAAACCCATATTTTTTATTTTTATTGAATTCTCAACGATTTGATTGTGGCACAACTAGATGCATCAGTTCGACACTTTAAATAATCATTTGAGTGCTGGTTTTTTAAACAACAATATTTCAAATGCTATTTATGCAATTTTTCCCTTCTCTTATACTCACAATTTGATATTTACACTCATAGATGGGTGCATGAACTGTTGTGTTTAATTTTATAAAATATTTTTTTATGTGATTTTAGAGATATGAGCTGTCTGCATGTAGATATCAAAACTTTATGAACGTGAAAAGTATGTCAAAAAAATAAATAAATAAATAAATAAAAATAGAAACCTTTTCCCTAAGGGAATATGACTAGCCATATGATGTCAAGTTTCCGCGAATTATATTGGCTTTATTTTTCCTTTTCCCAGCCCTCCTTTTTGTGGAAATTCTCAGTACTTGTCGCAAAATCCTGAATCACTCCAGTTCTTTATCTCTCCGTCTTTATTAGTTGGCGTAATCTTCACTTTTTCTAGACTAAGGCTTTCAATCTCTGATCCAGCTGAAGCTCTCGCTCGAACTGGAAGTGGATTTGTGTCCAACGTCGGGACAGAAAAGCCCGCCCCTGCCGGCAAACAATGCAGACAGGTAAGACGGAAAAGCAAATTTGCTGTCGTCCTGTGTAATCTGTCAGAGCATTAGCTTTTGAATCATTCATCTTCTTGATTAAATTGTGGATTTATGTTCTCTTATGACATTATAATGCTTTTCAAAAAAATCTTTTTGGTTTTCTTTTTTGTCAGCTTCATAAACGTACAAGAATCAGTGGAATGGTAAATTATTAGGTTATTCAGTTGCATACCTTTTCGGAAGAAAAATTTCTTCTGCCTTGTTGCAATTTTAGCACTTCGCGAGTTTTCTTAGGATCGAAACGTTATCATGATTAGCTTCTTGCTTCGTGTGTGTGGTTTGTGATGTGGTTACCATTTGATTTTCTTTGTTGAGGGGTTTTCTTCGTATAAGTTGCCATTGGAGCATTAATGCTTTACCATGCTAACAATTTATTGTTTTAAGCGCATAAAAGCTGTAATCATGGTTGAATGAACCTGCCATAATATTAAAGCAGTTTTGTCGGAGGGAACAACTTACCTCCTGCAAATTCTGATAAAGTATAGTATTGGCAATGGGATCTCGTTCGATGCAGAGTATCTGTGCTAATTTTGACTTGGTATTGACTGTCAATTCCGACATCGTATTAGTTGTAGACTTATCAGAATACATGGTCTTCTGCCTGTGAGTTGATTCTGATTTAACAAACTAGTTCAGATGCATTGGAAGCTGTTAAAGGATCATGTATGTTCATTTATTAGAGAAAACGAAGATTTGCAAACATACCACCCAATTATTATGTATTTACACGCATTGGAAGCTGTTAAAGGATCATGTAAATTCATTTATTAGAGAAAACGAAAGATTTGCAAGCATACCACCCAATTATTATGTATTTACATATCAAACACCTAAACTTTAATTTTTATATATCTGACACGTTACCTACGCATGAAAATGTGTATTTTACTTTTTTTTTAAGTTAGAAATAGTGATATTTCTAATGTGATATGAAAGATTTGTGTGGTATAAATGTAAAAATGAAATTTTAGGTTTTAGATATGTAAATATATAAGAATTGGGTGGTATGTATGTAAATTCCTTTAGATATAATAGACTAAAGAGCTCTAGCTTAAGTGGTATTTTTCTTGGTTCTTGTGATGGAATTATGATTCGAGTTCAATTTGTGCTCTACTTTGAGCTTAATATTCCTTGGGATTCTTTCATAAAATTTGATTTGTAACCGGCCTTATGACCTTTTTATTTGCAATTGGTCTCATGTCCCACTCATTTATTATTTTACTCCTTAAAATTAATAAAATATTTGGAAAATGTTTACATCCTTAAAAAAAGTAAATAAAAATAAAAAAGAAAAAATAAATACTCAAGATATAATATGAAGTTTGTTGGTGATGGCATGTCCCTACACATGCAATTAGAAGTATAGATGAAGGTGGAGATACAGAGGATTGCTTTTGGAAATTAAATCACAAAACCAAGAAAATTGACAAAAAAATATTAATTTATATTTGCTAGATATTTGTTACAAAGATTGTTGATAACAAGAGCTGCCATAAAAATCATAGTTGAGGAGTCGCTTGAATTGATTCAACAAACTCAAATGTGTGGGAGGAATGATCAAGATTTGTTTAGCGAGTAAAGAGCCTTCAATAATAGAGAAATATAGTTACAATAGGTTCATTAAAGCAAATCTACTTGGTATAGCACAAAGTGGCGAGCATAAATGAGTAATACTCACCCTTTGATTTGAATTCCACAGTAGGAGGATCTTCTTGTTTCTAAGGGCTTGTGGCCTACGCTTTTGTTGTTGATGGATAAAAGGATTTGAAGTCCTCTAAAGATGGAAAGGGGAAGAATTTGAGCATGAGAGATAAAAAGTAGGGAGAGAGAGAAAGGGAGCATAGTAGATAAATTATTCATCTTTATACTTTTTCAACCACTAATGAAAAATTAAAGCTATCACTATCGATATCCGGATGTTAAAAGTTTATATTTGTCATTGTCATCACCTTGAACGTGATCAAGTTGAGTGGCATCATCATTATCATCCAAACATGAAATTAATCAAGGTTTCCATCATCCTCGTAAAAATATTAAAATTAATTGTCCTTGTAATTTGCATCTAAAAAAAGAAACGATTATCTTATTTTTTCTTCAACAATATTGAAGTAAGTGAAGAAGAATTTAAGCATTTTGAAGGAATTAACATGGAATCATTCTGTTTCCTTATATATTTGGCTAAAATTTAGAAACATGGAGTATGAAAAGGAATTATCTTCATTATTTTCATCTAACAAAAGATAAAATTATGTTCGTTTTATTTTCAACAAAAATGAAGCTATCAAGGAAGAATTCAAGCATCATGAAGGCATTGACATGGAACCACTCTCTTGGCATTGACATGGAACCTCTCTCTTTTCAATTTTGCTTGGCTAAACTTTAGAAGCAAGTAACTTGTAAGTTTGGCATCCTCTATCACTCCTAATCTTTTGGCAACTTATCTTAATAAGAGAAGGAGATAATGAAAGATTGCAATTAAGATGAATTCCAATAAAGGATAATTTAACCGATGGGCCATTATCAACTATTTCCTATTATGGTAATACCAAATTAAAAGTGCAAAATTAAAACCAAGGATGTGTGGCTAATTTCTTTTCTCTTGACGGTCTTATGTTGTTTTCTTTTGTTGACGTAATTTAACAGAGGGCTTATAAATAATTATTCCATTATGTGAGTTGCTCGATAACAGTGGAGAATTTGCCAGTTCTCTCTTAGTAAGAGAAATTGGTTTGCTTATCAGAAACAATATTTATATATTTTAATGTTGTTACTCTTATGAATAATAATATATCACTTTTCTATTGTTATGATTTCATCTATTCTACGTGGTATATTCCTTTTTTCTTTTTGTACCTCACTAACATCGTAGCCTGGGCATTGATAGCAAGGCCCATTTTTTATTAACTAGAGATAGAAGATTAGGGGATGGGGATTATGGATAATTTGCATTCAAAATGTATTATATTCATTATTATTATAATTCTCTTACAATAATCTAATATTTATAAAGAAAACTTGCATTTATGAAAATAAGAAAAAGAAATAATTTAATTTCAATCAAAGTATATCATGGATATTTCTTTTAAGAGAAGTTTTTAATGAAATAATTTTCTACATATATTAGCACTTTTTTAAATATTTATTACATGATCAATTATGATATGCTGCTGTTGCAGTGCTTTAATAAGAAAAGCCAAATAAGGCATGTGATAGTATGCTTAATAACCTTGCCCTAGATTAACTCCCATGAAATGCGAAGAACTTATCTTACAAGAATTGATGAGCAATTGGTGTCTATAGAGGTGTTTGTGGTGGAACAAGCTTGGGCACTATATATACCAAGTACACCCATAAGTAGATAACAACTTTAGTCTAGTGGTCAAAAAGGTGGTTAACAAACACCATAAATAACATGTGGAGATGGTTTTAGATTAAGTGCTATTGGAGAATTTGGGGTTGTTGTTGACTTACATCTCATCAAATTAACATCATTGGCAGGAATATCATAATAAATGAGGCTATGTTGATTGTAGAAGTACAAAATCAGCTCATGATACTAAAGAAGTAGATAATAATGAACTTGGGACCATGCATCTTGTATGATTATTTCAATTTTTGAAGAATCTTGATATATCCGTACATTATGCTACTATTTATGCACTTCTATATGATAATGTTTTGGCGTCTTTTTTGGAAATATATGGTCAACCTATGATGGAGCGGATATTAGTACATGAAGTTGGGAAAAAAACGTAATACCTCTTTCTGTGGAACTTAGGGAACAATAATAGTGGCTAGAGCCTCTTTACTCTCAAACCTAGCCACAACCTTTGCTAAGGTCTCTTATTTGATTCTGAATACTTCATCATCACACTCATTCTCAAGATCAACTTCAACCACATCATCACACTCAGGATCATTCACAGAAGAAAGCGTGGTAATGGGCTTGGTGGATTCAATAGGGTTAGAGAATTTCAGAATGGATAAATTTGATGGAAAAATGAATTTGATTTTTTTTTAGTTCTTCAAGACACTAATCTAGGTTAGTTGTCATAACATTGTATTGCTCATGAAGAGTTTTAGATTGTTTGAAATATGTGGCAAAATGATTAGATTTTAGAGAAGATTTTATAGGTGAATTGGCATTGTATTGCTCATCAAGAGTTTTAGATTGTTTGAAATATGTGGCAAAATAATAGACTTGATTAGATTTTAGAGAAGATTTTATAGGTGAATTGGGCAAGTTAAGAATCTTTCATAAGAAGTGTTTTATTTTAAGAGATGAAATTTCACAAGTAGTCATTGAAAGGATTATATTAGCAAGCAATACGAAGAACCACCAATAGAAAAAGAAAAAGAAGAAAAAATATATTTTACTGAGATAACTTAATCAAAGATGTCAAAAAAACTCATCGTTCGTGAATAGCATGCATCCGACTCGTTAAGATATGTATGTATATGTCTATATATATGCATGTTATAATAAAGGAGAAAGTATAGATGTTGAATCATAATCTGTCCATGAGACACGCCTAAGGGATAGAGCGTTAGACGAATGGAGAGAGAGAGCACAATCGATAGCCAAAAACAATACCCCCCTTTTTTGTTATCGAGACAACCCATTAGTTATAGGGCTAGGCCGATGGATATTTACATACTGTACCCCTAGGATACATAGATATGATGGGGACACTTTGTTCCATACATGAATAAAAATTATGAATCCTATGAGCGCTGCTGGGCGGCGGCTAGGTCGGGTGGTTATTGAGTTGGGCTGGCAAGCGATTCCTTTGAGCGTGATTTTGGTGAGTCTTCTTGGGGCCTTATGTTTGTGGTTTCCAATTCCTTTTTACCCTTCAAAGGCATGTCGCTTCCCCCTATGCAGAGGTGGTTTGGTATGTGTTGATGACTTTTAGATGTCCTCGATAGGTTCAGGTGGATCATGCTTTTCTTGTCCC